GATCTGGGTGTGACTTTGTTTAACCTTTGTGCAATATTTCCTCCCTTAGCTGTTTGTTTTTACTGATGGAGAGGTGGGGAACACCAAAGATGTTATAGATCTTGTTAAGAAGAATGCAGGCTCTCACAGGTAGCACCATAAACACACAGATTCACAGTTTGTGTTGTGTTCTGCTGTTGTGTGTGTTTAAAAACAAACTGTTGTATTGTAGGTGTTTCTCTTTTGGGATTGGAGAAGGAGCCAGCTCTGCTCTCATCAATGGGCTGGCCAAGGAGGGAGGAGGTCATCCTCAGTTCATCTCTGGAACTGACAGAATGCAGGCAAAAGTTAGTTCAAATTGGTGAATCAGCTAGGGCTGGGCAATAATTCAATAACAACATACAGTATGTTACAACAGACACATGATCATTATCAATAGAAAATATACATTTTTTTACATTATAGTATTTACTCATTTTATTTTAAAAAACAAAACATTGCATACAACAAAACAATACAAATAAAATAACATGAAAGGCAGCAGAAGAAGAAAACAATTCTTATATCTGCCCCTTTTTTAATTAAACAAATATTTAAAACAATGATAAACCAAATAATAAAACAAAAAAATAATTTAAATTCCTCAAACAGTAACTAATACAAATTAAACAATTTCATATTCTTTAACAATTTTTCCTTGATTGTTTTCTTAAAGAAATTCACTGATCCAATGCTTTTACAGTCATCCTCCTGATCATTCCATAGTCTTATACCTTTTACAGAAGTGCATCTGTCCTTCAAGTTTGTTCTGATTTTCAGTTTAACAAACATTTGAAATCCCTTCAAATTATCAGTGTTTTTGTTGATTGAAAAAAAAAGCATTTGATACCACTGACCACCGTATCCTTCTGGAGAAATTAAACAAATATGGCAGAAGAGGTCCAGCATTACAGTGGGTATCAAGTTATTTAACCAATAGGAAACAGTTTGTACAAATTAAAGATGTAAGATCTTAACTTTGTAATATTGTATGTGGGGTTCCACAGGGTACTATATTGGGACAAAGGTTGTTTCTCCTACAGTATATATTAATGACTTGGTAAATGTTTCAGGGTTGTTTGAATGTGTTTTATTTGCAGACGACACTACGTTTTTTTTGCTTGGGTAAAAGCATAGAACAGATGTTGGAAATGATGGAAATAGAATTAGTAAAAGTACAAAATTAGTTTAAAATTAAGAAATTATTAAATTTAGATAAAACAAACCAAAACAGACAGCCTATCCACGGTGGTCTTCGTGCGGACTTCGAGCGTCCACTGGGTGATCCTGAAGGTCGGGGAGTCAGCTCGGAGCYGAGCTAATCGCTTCTTCCTCCGAGGATCGGCGAGGCCGCTACATCGCATCGTTTGATAGGATTCCCCAACTGTGGTGGTTGTCTTGAATGGGGTTAACACCTGAAGTTAATTACTTTAATTATCTAATAAAATATATGACAACACTTTCAAATGTTCACCTGTATGCTGACCTTCAGAAATCTGTGAAATAAATTTATATAAAATCTGTAGTATTGTCGCACAATACAACAAGAAGGAGAGCGTACAGGCAATTGCAGCAATATGTGTGGCGCAGGGGTAGTGTTGGGCGGGGTTCTTGAAGCGTCTGCAAGGAAGCAGGTAGTGGGAGGAGGAGGAGGAGGAGGGAGCAAACATGGCCGTTTTAGGCCAGAGACGTAAAAAAGAAATTGGAAGCTGAGTTTTGTCTACACATTTATATACCTGCAAGATGATGGAAAATTAATTGAATTTATTGCCAATCCATGTAACTTGACATGTATGTAATGTTTACTCTCTCAGAGTCCTTAAAATGCACCCAGTGGTTCAAGAGATGTTTTGCTAACACTACAGACAAGCAAAACACAGACACAGGCAAAAACATTCAATAATACCAACTGCAAAGCTTTGATTTCAGAGTGGACCTGTGTGACTGAGGAGTCAGTTAAAGGGCAAACTGTGTCATCTGTATTCTGAGCCTCTCCCAGTAAGACATGTAATGTGGATTTACTGGCACCCGTCAGCCCTGCGTTGCGAGGCAGCACTAACTAGATGAGCCGGAGAATTACTGCTGTGTGGAACGGTGTCGGAACACGRCACACTGAGCGGTTTTATGATAGCCGGGCAGCACACAGGACTGCAGAGCATCGTTGGAGCTGACGGCTGCTCTCCAGAGGGTGATTTCGCCCGACATTCTTCCCCCGCTGCTGCTCCAAGCCAATTCCAGCCAATCACTGCCTCCTCCTTGTAATGGAACGTTTATCTGTACAATGAGAAGATGAGAGATCCTGTGGTTTGGACGTGAAATTAATTCAGTAAAGGGTTGAGAAGCAGCTGCCTTCCTGTTGGATCTCATATGCAGTTTTTTGAAAAGGTACCTATACTCGCATTTTGTCAGGTTACAATGACAAACTTTAGAAGTTTTATACAAGAATTTTATTCAAGAGCACTGGGGCATATAACTTTTACAACAGCAGGAGCCATTTTTACAATGTCTTCTGCTGAACAAAAGTTAAAAACAGCCACAAATCTTACTCTGCATTTAAAATGAAAAGAAGATAAATTTAAAAATTTCAGTAAGTTTTATATACAGT